CCCCAAAACCCCAAAACCCCAAAACCCCAAAGTGAACGTGACCTATTGAAAATTAGAATTTAATCACCATGGAAAGATATAAATAAGAGACTTAATTTAACAAAAATAAAATATGAGTAAAGTGCATAGTGAAGAAAGTTCTTCAAATCTAATGGCTGACAATCAATCAGGAACAAAGATGAAGATATCATGGAAGAATCTCCACTATACTGTCAAAGCTAAGTACAACAAAGCACAGATGGAAGATCTTAAGACTGAAGAGAAATACTATGACAAAGAAATTTTGAAGCCCCAGAGAGGCTACATCAAGTCAGGTGAAACCTGTTTCATCATGGGTTCTTCTGGAGCCGGCAAGACCACTCTGCTCAATGTGCTTTGTGACCGAATCACCCAGAACGCCAAGTGCAAACTCGAAGGAGACATCTTGCTGAACGACTCGTACCCGGTGACGCAGAAGGACTTCGGAAAGTATGGAGCCTACGTGATGCAGGACGATGTGCTATTCCCAACACTCACTTGAGAAGAAGTCATTACTTTCTCGGCAAGGCTCAAGCTTAATATTTCTGGCAATGATCTGAAATGCAGAGTTGATAAGATTATTGACAGCCTTGGGCTTTTGAAATGTAGGAAAACAAAGATTGGAAATCAACAACTTAAAGGACTTAGTGGTGGTGAAAGAAAGAGAACCGCTATTGGAGTTGAGATGATCACTGATCCCCAAGTTCTTTTCCTTGATGAACCAACTTCTGGATTAGATAGCTTCACAGCTAATAAGATCGTAAGACTCCTGGTAGATCAGTCTCGTCAAGGCAGAACTATCATTGCAACCATACATCAGCCAAGTTCCAGCACTTTTGCTCTATTCGATAGACTCATTCTGTTAATGGATGGCCATTTGATCTACCAAGGCAAAGCTGATCAGGCAGCCAACTATTTCCAAGGACTGGGCTTCAAGATTCCGACGTATGCAAACCCAGCAGACTTCTTCCTGAAGGAGTTCTACGTACCATTCAGGAAGAAGAGAGAAGACTTAGAGAAATTAGATAAATTGATCCAAGGATATGATCAAAACATGAAACTATCAGTCGAAAATGAAGATAAAGATTCAAACAATTATGAAGTAATTACTTCAGAGAAGCTCAAGCATAATGCTAGCCATTCAGGATTCTGCCGAGAGTTTCTTGAGATTGTTAAAAGAACTGTCAAGAATATATAATCAGAAGTCCTTTGATGACAAGGATGAGAACTATTCAGACTATAGTCCTAGGAATTCTCTGCATCCTTGTATTTTGGGATATGGATGAAGATATAACAGGAGCTAACGGAAAAGCAGGATTCATCTTCTTTGTTGGCATAAACCAAACCATGGCAGGACTTATGGGTGTTCTTCTTGTGTTCATAATTGAAAGACCAGTATTCCTTAGAGAATATGCGAGTAAGACATATGGGCTGACCTCTTACTTTGTTGCGAAATCAATAGTTGAGGCTCCTTTTCAAGTCATATTTCCAATATTGACTTCTCTAATCGTCTATTTTGCGGTTGGGCTTACAATAGACTTTGAAAAGTTCTTGATCTTTACACTTGTGCTTGTTGTTCTCGTATTCTGTTCAACTTCAGTTGGATTCTTCATTGGATGCCTTTTCGATAACCCTTCGAAAGCCACTCCTGCCTCGATGATAATGATGTTACCTTATATGATTTTTGGAGGTTATTTTGTTAACCTCAAAGATGTGTATGTGTGGCTCAGATGGATTCAGTACATTTCTCCACTAAGATACTCAACAGAAGCGTTGCTGAGAAACGAATTTGAAGATAACTCAGATTACTCAGCTGATCTTCAGAAAATTTATGAGAGATATGACTATGACATTGGCTTATGGCCATGCATTGCTATAGTTTTCTTGCTCTCTGTACTCTTCAGAGTTGGAGCCCTAATTGTTCTCAAACTAACAATTTCAAAAGTACAGTAATGGACAGAAACAAGCATTCATAATCATTAATAAGGCTTCAAAGAAATCTGTTAAGTTAGAGTACAGTTTCGAAATTTTATTTTAGGAATTTTATGGGGTTTAGTAGGGATTTTTAGGATGAGGAGGCGGTCTTAGAAGGAGTTTAAGGGGAAATAGGACTGGAGTGTGGTAAAGGAGTTATGGGGGATTTTGGGGGTTAGTGTTCAAATGTCAATTGCGTTTGGGGAAATATGTGTTACGATCAATTATTTGGATTTCAACTTTGTGTTTTTTATTGGGGTTTTGGGGTTTTGGGGTTTTGGGG